ACACATTCATCAGTTGACGCTCCTCATTTACACACTTATCCTGAAGATGGAATAGTTTGTTGAATCTGACGTGGCATGTTCGTACGAATCCTTCGTACGAACAAAAGTAAGAGAAATTTAGGATAAGAATATGAACATGTTCTTGCATGAGGCCCAAAGTCTCATTTTGCTATAGATGAGAAAAATAATGCTTCACAAAAAAGTGCAGTTTTTAACAGTTGTACTTGATTAAAATTAACTTATGTCTTGTTAAATTCCAACTTTTAAAGTCTGCAAGCATAATTTCAACTTTTTGGCCTTGRCGTTTCTGAAAATGTAAACAAATCTCAAAACGATATAGCTAGATGGTAATTATGGTCAACATATMTTAATTCTGTTGTTTTTACTGTTTTTGTTCTAAATGCAACTCTGAACCTTTAAAATGAAAAGTAAACATATTAGAAAAAATATTGTTTATTGCTCATGTGGAAATGTAAACATAATGAATCTTAATAAATTACAATTAGAGAAGACATWGTTTTATTGAGAGGCCAATGTTTTTGACAGTGCTGTCAAATTTTATGTTAACAAACTTTGTATTTTATTTTGACATTTAGCTCAGCAGTCAGCTTGATTTAACAAATAAAAGAAGAAACAAGCTTCAGATGTTTAGTGTTATGTTTTACAGCATATTTTGTTACTAATGGTTCAGTCAGTTAACTTTTTTATTGAAGTCCAGCTTCCTCTGTTTAATTATTTGTTATAATGTCAATCTTTTAGTTGTGTACAGAATAATGAACATGAGTTTATGTTTTAACATAACTAAATGGCATAATGTGTGTTTTATTTATTTATTCATTGCTCATTTACCACTCTGTTCAATGTGAATTGATTTGCATAGCTTGTGACGTGAGTTCTCAACTTGAAGTGAAGATGACATACTTGAAAACAGCGGGTGGCAGAACTGAAGCAAAGTAGTGAAGTCTTAATAGCGTTTGATGACAGTCATGGAAAAAGTGTGGCTTCGCCTCTAAGCTTAGGCAAAGTGTTTGAGTACGTATTGTCAAAAAATATGCAAAGTTAAGCATACAGGGATGCCAGCGCATATCTGTCAGAGCTGAGCCTTACAGACCCCTGGTCTGCTCCCACATGGCAAGCGTTAAAATTTAAACCAAACTTGTGTAATGGCACCACACTGATGTGAGTCTATTGCTGTCGCTAAAGTCTATCTTTGTCAAAGATCCTATTTGTACCAGTTTGGATGTCTTGCAGTGGGAATGATTGCTGCTGGGACTTTTCCACCACTTTTTTTTCATATCTGTTAGGATGTGTAACCATGACAACAAGAAAGAAGTTTATTTGTGTGTGCAGCTGATTGAGCTTTTCCCGTTTTGAGTGATGCTCGAAATAGGTTGACAACGAGATGTCACAGATGAAGACAGGTGCAAAATATGATTGACGGGGAGGAAGAATGTGTGTTTGCTGGGGAACAAAGTTGACAAAATTGGACCAGTAAACAGAAATGTGGAATACTGTGAATTGTGCTTTAACACGGCAGTGCTGTAAAAACAAATTGTTTTTACCCAAAACTGTTTTGACATGCCGGTTTTAAAAAGAATGCATTTGGATCGGCTTTGATTAACAGGATCTAACAGAAACTGGATCATTCCCTAAATAATCAGATGGGTGGAGCAGTGGCCTGAGACTTCCCCTCAAAGCAGGAAGATTGCAGGTTAACAACCACGCTGGGGTGTTTCTGTCTTTCTGTTTTGAATCTGCATCTCCTCCACATGCATGTGTGCGTTTTCACCAGGTGCCATGATTTCATTCCACAGACCTCAAGCATGCATGTTCAGTTAATTAGTAACTCTAAACTGGTGTGAATGAGAGTGTAAAGCTCTCACTGCTCTGTTGTTAGTTTCATTTAACATTTAGAAAGATTTTTTTTTAAATGTCTACTTACATATATATGATGCTATAATGAGAAAATGACTACATATACATAAACTCCAAAAAGCATATTTTTCTATAAGTTAACTTGTGGAAATTGAAATTCCATCTGAAATACAAAACATACTAAAGACTATAATTAAATATGTAACTTTTTTTTATAACATTAAGCTTTCACTAGAGTTCAGTGTCTCATACTGAAAACTTTACCTTGCACCCTTTTGCAGAATATCCAATCATCTCTTGACGTTACCGGGGTTTCCTTTTGTCATTTGACTTCAAATCAAAACGTTTTAACAACAATGCTGTGTCTTTCAGCATTGCAGCTAAACTCATGATGTTAATGTGAACAGATTTGTTAAAAAAACAGGAAAAAATTAAAGATAGAATACTGCAGGTTAAAAAAATGATTGACATTTGTTGCATTTGATGGAAATTGATGTTTATGAAATAGCATTTCTATTAGATATTTTTAGCTGTTTTTATACATGATTGAAATCAGTTCTAGTGTGTTGCAACAAGTAAACATAGTTGTCATAAAAATGTTTATATTGTAATACTGACAGAATTAGTTTAGGTTGATAGTTTCTTCAGACTGATCTGTAGATTATTAGAGGGGTTTTTAATGTTTGCATGGAGTTTCATAAGAGCCTTTTACTCAGAAAATCCACCTCACAYTGCAACTCCTCTCATCCTTTGTAGTTTATGGCTTTTTATTTCTTGTCTGGTTTTACAGTTTACAACTTTATACTTTGTGTTTTGTTCAGTTTTCTTTTTCTTTTTTTTTTCTTTTGTCAACTGGAGTTCAAAGTTGCACAGGGAAGCTGTTTTGAGTTTCAAAACACCAACAAAGCCACTATGAACAGCTTATTCAGTAGAGAGTGGCCTCTACTCTCTATACTATTCCAAAAAAGAGATATTTACCCATGTTTCCCATTCCTTACTTTATGTGTTGTCAATGAACAAGCTACTGCAACAATAAAAGGTTGTTTTTCTAAATTAAAAAAAAAAATAATCTAACTGTAATTTCTGAGTTAAAAAAGTCACATCAGAAGTTTAGCATGTTTTGTTTTTTAGAAGATTCTTTTTTGCATTCAGTGCACATGACACTCCGCAATAAAATAAAGATCATACAAGAACTTTTATCACAGACCATCTGTGGCTTTATTTTAATGTTATTTGTCCCTGCTGTTATTAATCAAGTCTGTTTGACTACCAGAACCAACAGGCAAAGGTGGTCCCAAATTAACAGCTGATGTTACCGTGACTCCAGAGATCTGTCTTATTGCTAGAGCTTCTGCTTGAGCTGGTAGCTTGTGAGACAGCAGAGCAAACATTTATCCAGATTTTGCACTTCCTGTGTCAATGCAAGAGAACAAATAAAATACAAAAAAAAAGATAAATAATTTGGCATCCTGCCTATCCTTACATCCAGTACATGGGGATAAAGGGAGGATGAGCATAAAGTAGAGTTTTCAGCTTGGAGGACAGCTGTGATAGTAAAGATCAAATCAAAACTGATTAAAAAAGCACACACAAACAAAAAAGCAGGGTATATWCAAAACTACTATAATCAGCATTGTGCAAATTGTATTATTAGGCAATGATTAGTAATGATGTCATAAAAGTGTTCTAAAATATCAACAGCTAATGTCATTTAGATTCAAAGTTATGGTAATGCATAAACATTTAAAGCCCACTTCATTTTGCATTAATCAACGGCAAGTCATCTGAATTATTGAGTATTTTTTTAAGCTTAAAGGCGTAAATTGAATAAAGGCTGTGCAACTGCTGTTGCTAATAATGCATTCACAGACATACACACTGAAACACTTACAATCAAATCAGCCAATGACAAACAAACTGATACTGACAATATGTAATGCATTTTGCAGAAAATGATTGCAAAGTAGGCTTCTGAAGAAACAGTTTGCCCAGTAACAATGACAGCTTCAATAACTCGGCTGTTCTCCAGCTGTGATTAGAAATTCAAGTCATATCACAGATTGCTGATTTCAGTTCCTATTACTTCTGATCACTTTGAAGCTAGAGATGTATAGACACACCGACATGCATAAATAATGAGCCAAGAAGCAGATTTCAGACATCCATCATAGCGCGACTAGGGTATCCTGATTATAAGCCCTCTGTAGTTCATAAAAACCTAGATTTGAAGAGCAAAGCTTTTCCTCTGAGACTGTTGGGGGTCTTTGGATGCAGTGGTTGTTGCWGCACCGTTGAAAAGCAGTCCCCATATAGCTGTTTGCCTGCTGGAGTGTATCAGCCATGATTATGAGGAGGCAATAAAGAAATAAAGCTGTGAGATATTGTTCATTTGGCCTCCATAAATAATCAAACAAAGTCAACCCCCCCCCATCCCCCCACGCCCACCCTCGCCATCAACGCTGCTGCCATCCATCAATCTAAACTGTGGCAAATCAAACGTCTGCAATAGCAGCCCTCCTTGCCACAGGAAATGGCCAGCAACAAATGCACGCTGTGAATCGGTGTCGGTCCTGATGAGTTTATTGCCTTTTGAAGGAACCTGAATGCTAATGAGCAGATTAGGAAGCACCAACAAACCACCCTGGCAAGAGACTTAAGAGAAAACATAAAAGGGACACTACTGTGCTCTGCTTTGCACCTTTATGTGGGACAAAAAAAAGGTTAAGGACACAGAGGTTTTGGTTCAGATTTCTTTAAACCGAAAATATAAATGCAGTTCACCGGTATTTACCTAAGCACCATGAAAATTTGTCTAACCTACATAGTGTACATTCAGATCACATGTACACATCGTTTCTACGTGGTCCCTCATTAYGAACCCAGATTGTGGAGCAGAACAGCAAAATGAAACCCAGCTGGATGACAAAGCATAAATAAAGATCCAGAGCTCTCATCTGTGGATAATTCTCCTCCTTTACATCACCTTCATTTGTCTTAAGGTGAACACTTTTTTATCCCAGACAACAATTTGCTCCTTGGTGATTCTTTGGCCCCATCACTGCACCATAATAAATCTGATCCAGTGACTCAGTGCTCAAAGCCCACCATAGAGACAGAGTACTTACCAGGACTGTCATGCAGAGAATTCTAATTCAGGCAGCTCCATGTTGCCAAGGAAATTCAAAATGCCTCCGAAAGCATGGAGTCAGGGATGCAGGATTTCAGGGCAGGCTAGATTAGGACGGGGAAGAGGAGGAATATACGCAGAGACGAGAATCCCTTGTTTGAGGGGTGGGGGGGCATTTGAGAAATGCCTTCGTCCTCTCCAGATGCGCTAAATCCGGCCGCACTGATAGGCTGACATGTAAACACACAGGCGGCTCTGCTGGCTCACACACGCTCACATACATGCTGCACCTAGCAGAGAAAGAGAGAGGAGGGAGGGAGGGGCAGCCGAGGAGAGGTGGAGGGAGGAGCTGCAGTGCACTGGGAGACTGAGAGGCACAGAGCACAGGCAGCAAGGGGAGTTGAAAAGAGATGGAGAGAAATGTGCTCCCGTTGCACTGGCAGCATCGTTTTTGGACATATTCTTCACTCCTTCAAAGGAATGATCTGGTTAACTCAGAATCGGGATGTTGCAGGACAGAGGGCGAGTGTCATCAAGGACAGGAGGTTAAAGATGAAARGAACAATGAGAAAATGTAGGGAAAAAAGCAAACAAACAAAAACAGTCTATCATCTTAAAATGTTCAAAAATGTTTGTGTTCTAAAACTTCTCAGGACTGTTCACATAAAAAAGATGTTCTTTTCATTTCTGGATGCAAATTACATGTGCTAATAATAATAAGGTTTCCAAAATCTTAACACAAACACAGCACTGGTGCAAATAAATGCACTGACTGAGTTGTGAGGTGAAGGAAAAGGGAAAACGAGTGCTTTTAAATGCATTTGATTTGCTGCAATATGGAAAGCTTAAAGGCTAATGATTTGCGACTAGGGGATGAATTGCCTTTTCTGCTTAAAAGATTTGTTGCCAGAGTTGCGGATTATAAACACCCACGCTGCGTAGTGAGGTAATAATCAGGCAAAACTCACCTTCGCTGTGAGGAGTGAAGTTTGGGGATAAAAGAAGGCTTGGCTTAACAGYGCTAATGGGCCTACGGGGCTGGCACACCCACGCTGGTGGTACCAAGGAGGCTCCACCATCAGGAAGTGTTTACAGGAGATTAGAAGGGTGATGCTTCTGTGGAGGTGGGCATGAAGTGGCTGGCCACTAAATGATATGTAAGAAAAACCCTCAGTATAACAAACCAATCTGCTGTGCAAGGTTAAGCTACAGCAAGACGAAWACAATGCTGTCTTCATTGGTCATGACACTGAATTATTAGTGAATTATACAATAAAAACAATATAAGGATTAAAATGTGCTAAAAGTGAAGCAAACAGAAGCAAATTAAATCAAATTTGCTCACATATTTGAAATCAAAGTAAAATATTTTAAAATTGAAAAAGTTTTTGAGGACGCGCAGTGCCTTTTTGGCACAAGMAGATCCAATTCTGTTTTTTTGAAATAAATCTGTTAGACAAACAGCCGAACACAGAGCTAAAGACAGCCAGTGGTGGCACATCTCTGCTGAACAATAAAACATACAGAAGGAAGAGAGTTATTAAGACAGTTGAAAAAGGCGACGCACTGTGCAGCAATACAACATAAAATAAATTTATGGCTCATTTTACCTACTACAAGCTAATCTAAAGGCAATGAGTTATGCCCCAAGCAAGAAATAAAACTAGATGAAAGGTAGCGCTGCAGAAATTTGGATGACGTTTGAGGATAAAAACCATCAGACACGGAAGCCGGGGGAATTACATCTCAATTTTTTTTATTCCTTGAATGGTCCTGCACCCTCTATGACCACTTAAAAAAAGATTGAACAACTGATTCATGACACCGCATTTACATCCAATGGTGCTATGAATTTCCGTCTCCTTGCAGAAGCTCGGAGTGTCACAACCTGTATTTAGTCACTGGGTTTCCTCCCAAGACATTTAAAAAGTATGAGTGTGCCTTTTTTCTAATTAAGATACAAGTGCTTCCCCCTCTCTTCTCTCATAATTAATGTCTGCACTCGTGCAATTTGCCTTCTAACTAGATTCTGTAATGCATTTGATAGCAGAGAACTCGCTCAGTGATGTGAGGAACTTTCTTGAGATGATGGTAAGCTGACAGGCTGTGCATCTCATTATAGTTGTCACTGCAAAACAAAAMAAAAAGGATTTATTTTTTTGTAACAGAAATGTTTGCATTTAATTTGTATGTAGGTTTCTTTACGCCTGTTTACGCTTTGTGCATTTTGAAAAAGAGGGGAAAAAGAAATATAAGAAAAGAAAAATAAAACTGTGATCAGCTCAACTGATCAGATGAAAGCAGCTATATGTTTAGCTTACTTGTTTCTGGTAAGCAAATATCATTCGTTCTGTTTGAAATGTTGATGAGAGCATGTCTGTGCTGCAGCYACTGCTGAAGCCAACTGCATGTGTTTATTAAAACAATGTCTCCAGTCGACTGTTTCCAGCTGTTCGTTCTGATAAGTACGCCTGTGAAATCGGATTTTGATGTGCACGATGATAGTGAGCTTAAACATTGGGGCCTAAAATGTTTGTTGCCGCAGTCGACATTTCAAAAGGCATGTTTTATTTATTTATTTTTTAAATAGTAACCATTTGCATGTTTTAATTGCCCACAAACTGTTTGAAAACTCGCACACATTAGAATATTTAGTTTGGCGAGAGATGCTTGCACTAGATGGGTGCAGTTAGTAAGCAATTAGCCGCAAAAYTAGCTTTGGTGTGCATGATGAAGATTTTTTTTTTTCACAGAAATTTGCGACTTCCCCTTCATGTATTTTGTAATACAAATTTTGAATTGAAACTGGGGTGGGAAATGATCCAAATTTGACCAGTTAAAATAAAATGTTTGTCCAACTTAATGTAGTCTTTGCTGCCAAATAATTGYTGAAAACACACTGGATTGTAAAACYCAGTAAAACTGTACAAGCATATAAAACGTATAGCGTTTAACCTCACAAACTCAGATACTTTGATGTTTTTTTATGTATTGCAGCCAATGGTGTGTCAGTGGTGATTGCTGAACATGGGCAATACTARCCCAGAAAGGAGGAGCGGGTAAAAAAGATGGACAGATGGATATTTTCCTTCTTTTTTGCTCTTATTGCAAGCAGATTTTCCTTCAAGCGGTTTTTCATGGCACTGCATCGTTTAAAAAAAAGGAAAAAGTATGGCAGGTCAGCTGTTCCACCATGACATTATCTCTATATGTGTTGTGAAAGAAACAAAACAGCCTTCCAATCTGTGCGATCATCCAGGAAGTTCATTCCACAGTTTCTGCACCGAGCCCATAGATCTGTTTAGTTTGAAAGCTCTTTGTTGCAGAAAAGAGTTTTAACAATAAAACCTGGAAAGTTGCTGCTACGAATTGCCCGTTATGAAACTATCTCATTTCATTGTGCTGTTAATGGTAATATTTTACGAGGAATTGCTGACGTGAACGTTGCAATAGAAGCTTTAAAAGTCCCAGTGCAATGCCAGTTTCACAGTAAGCAAACTTTATTTTTTTACTTATTAGGGTCAATAATAATCATCTTCTTGTCAAATGATTTCACCRTGACATGGTTCCTTTTTATGTTCCTATCCAGCTCTGAGACATRTGACATACTTTATAATTTTCAAGCAATTACTCCAAACACATCATTGTGGCACTAGTCCACCCCAGTYTATTCAGATAATTGCAGAAATAAACAATGTCAGCTCCACTTCACAGTGGTATGGAAAGAAAATGTAGGACCACAAACAGCAGGTTGGTGATCAGTGTTCTGAGGTCCCTCAAATATAGGTAGTCAGACCTAGATTTGGTKTTAAGGACCTCTAAGCTGCTTTCCCAAAATGTAGTCAGACGTTCCTCCTCTGCTGAGAAAATGTCATATCTAAATTAGTAAGTCACTTCATCACAATACAAGTGGTCAGCGGTAAAAAGGCTTCTGCTCCTTGTAGTCACTTAATGGCCTGAACACCTAAAGTGTCATTTTGTCTTWGCTGTGTTATTTCCAATCACAATGATAGAGAAGGAGTAGCATTTAAATGACCCACACAGCCTGAGAAAACACCAACATCAGTGTAGGACCTCAGGAAACAGAGGTATGGGGGTGGCTTCGCAGTGTATTTGTCAATAAAAATATAAACAAAGAATGCATATTAAAATGCAAAAAATATATATATTTTTTGAAAAAGGTATAAATAAAATACACCCACATCTATGCAGCATGAGTTCTGTTTACATCAAAAACTGACTGTCTCAGAACATCAAAGGCTTTTCCTCATGCTTTAATGAAAGCAAGTCAGAGTTTGTCATCCTCAGCCTCCACATTCCTGTCAGTTTGACCACCAGAAGTCTTAAGGCATTTATCAATATCTTTTTTTCTAGTTTTACCACAGTTTTATTTCTTCTAGGYGACAAACTTGCACACCAGGTAATTTAGAAACGTTGATGCTGATGAACAGGAAAGCTGCTAGAAAGAGACTCAAAAAAAAAAAACTTGGCAGGTGATTTGATAAAACTCTTGCCAAGAGCTTTGAAARCATCTTTAATCAAAAGGAGCCTTTRGTGTTATTCTATGTGCTTGTTTCAATGAAAGTTACTTTCAGACTGGATACGAGTGCTGCAACAGCACCTTAACTTCTTCTGGAGCTAAATGTCATCACACCTAAAACCCAGGATGGCAGGACAGGATTCTAACTAATCTGTGATCCACTGAGCCGCTTTGACTAACGACAAGGATTAAAGATCAGCTAGACGGATATGGGAGAAGAACTTTTGGGAAAATCTACTGTTATTTTCKTACTAACTGAGAAAACAACTACAAAAGGAAATTGTTATTTCACTGTCTTTGCTGGTGTGTAGTTAGCTTCTGTAATATGATGGACATGGTGCTGTGGTCTAAACAGTAAGTCCATGAAAAAAATATTTATAATAAGTTACAGCTTACAACAGATCAAAACTTAGGTCAATTAAAAACAATTAAAACTGCAGTAATGAAAGAATATGCTGTGTCAAGCAAAAAGTCTCATAAATGGTTGATACTATTAGATGTGATTTGGTTTGATATCATCAGAAAACCATCCTCAACACATTCTCTGAGTGATCTCGCAATATTACATGAGGTTCCATTTAGAAGGTTTGATCAACATTGTCCCTTCCATTTGAGTCTAAAATCCTGGCATGAAAGCTGGCAACCAWTATGTATCTCTTCAATCAGTCAAGCTCTTTAATTTAATGATGAAGGAGAATTTTAGATACAGTATTTGGGAACTTAAACTATAGCATATCTGTATACATTAAAATGTACAGTTTA